TTTCAGCAAATTTTCTATGTTTGAGATGTTTGTGTGTGTGTGTGTGTGTTCCGTTTCGTAATTATGTAACTGGTTGTGGTCGATTTCCATTTGATTTGAGGCGTTAACGATTAACGATTGTAGTTTGTGCTATTGTTTATGGTTTTATATTCACCAGATCTCGTTGGGATTTACGTTCAATTTATTTTTTTTGGTGGTTATTTTAGAGACGCTCTGAGGAATTAATGCTGTTCTAATTTTGTCTGCTCTCTAGTCTCTCCTGAGATTTACAGTTTGTTCCACATTAATTGTTTAGGAGTGTGTTTGGTTAAATCGAGTGCTATGGATGCATTTAGAGGAGAGAAGAGAAAATCGTATATCGTAGTCGTGTACGTGTTTTTGTCATAGTATTTTCGTGTTATCTGTTTTATTCGATAACAATCATGATACCAAATCCAAATTTAACTTAATTTTTTTGTTTCGTGCTTTGTGTTGTATGTTGTGCCTATTGTGTCATTTGTCTCTATAATCATGTTCGTGTTTCTTGTCGTGTGTGACATTGCCATCTGTAGATAACATTGAGAAAATGGCTATNTCCATGATAATTCCATGGGAACTCTGTGCAGCTGAAAGGCGATGAAGGTCAATTAATGCCAAGCAACATATATATATTGGCCACATGTACTTGCTTATGTTGTACGGGAATTCATCGCAAATTCGATTTTGTATCGTTAGTCAATTCATAAATGAAAGCACTTAGAGCATGATTGGATATAAATCCAACCCAAAAAAATCCAATCATTTTTAACTCAACCACTTTTTTTAACTCAACTTTAACTCAACCCCACTATCATCAATATTATCAATATAATTAAATAATATCAATCAATCATTCTTACACACAATATCAACCTTAATTCACTGTTCATCAACTCACAAAATTTTAACTAACCATCACATCACATCTTCTCTCTCCTACATTTACATTAATTTAATTTTAATTATTTTATTTCAAATATTATTTAAATATATCCACTAACAACTAACCATACCAACTTTTTCAAATTTAACCAACCCAAACCAAAAATCCAATCAAAACAAAAATTTTTTATATCCAATCATGCTTTTAATAATCGCACTACCCTTTGAATTATCGAGTCGAACAGTAGCAACTTAATCTCAGATGATAAATTTAATCATAAATGGTTTCAGGGATGAGTATCTTGTATTTTGAAACTACCAGTACCATTGGAATTTAAGTTCCTTTTGTTTTTTTCCAGGTTCCTCTAAATGGAATCCTGTGACTGTGTCGAGTCTCACTGGCCGGGCGATGAGCTCCTCGTCAAATACCAGTACATATCCGATTTCCTCATAGCGGTTGCGTATTTCTCCATTCCTCTGGAACTCATCTACTTCGTCCACCGATCTTCCTTCTTCCCTTACCGATGGGTGCTGATACAGTTCGGCGCATTCATAATCCTCTGTGGCGCGACCCACCTCATCAACCTGTGGACCTTCTCCCTCCACTCCAAAACCGTAGCTATAGTAATGACGGTAGCCAAGATATCCACGGCTGCAGTCTCGTGTGTAACAGCCCTGATGCTTGTCCACATCATCCCCGACCTGCTCAGCGTGAAGACTCGCGAGTCGTTTTTGAGAAACAAAGCCGAGGAGCTCGACCGTGAAATGGGGCTCATCATGAAGCAGGAGGAGACGAGCAGGCACGTCCGCATGCTGACCCACGAGATCCGGAGTACCCTCGACCGGCACACGATTCTGAGGACGACACTTGTCGAGCTCGGGAGGGCGCTCGACTTGGAAGAGTGTGCCCTGTGGATGCCCTCCCGGGGAGGGGCCAGCCTCCAGCTGTCACACACGCTGAGCAGCTCGATGCATGTGGGGTCCACTGTGCCGGTCAATCTTCCTCTGGTTAATAAGATATTTAGCAGCGATGAGGCTGTTCGGATTCCTCACGCTTGCCCTCTGGCACAAGTGGGGCCTCGGGGTCGGGGGGTGAGCTACGGGTCTCCTGAAGTAATTGCTGTGCGGGTCCCACTTCTGAGCCTATCGAATTTCCGTGTCGATGGGTTGGCCGAGCTTTCCCGGAGGAGCTATGCGGTGATGGTTTTGGTTCTGAGCGGGGTGAGAAAATGGCGGGAGCATGAGCTCGAGCTCGTGGAAGTTGTCGTTGACCAGGTTGGCTGAGTGTAGCAAAACTTGATTCTTTGTGATTTTTCGTCAGATTTTTTACTCGGTTCTTCGTTGTTAGTTGTAGGCTATAACTGCTCATTCGGCCGAAATCGAACTGAACTGACCGAATTTTCGGTTAACCGAAAATTTGGTTTATCCATTATAAGAACTGAAAATTTTCTGTTCGGTTTTTAAACGAAAATCCAACGGTCGGTTCGGTTCGGTTATCGGTTAATCCCAATAAATAATTAATTTTCTCAATAAATTCTGAATTTTTAACCAAATAAAAAATTTGATATTTTATCCAAACCAAAAAAAATAATTTTTATATATTGTTTAATTTTCTCAATAAAATACCAAATTCTCCTCAAAGGAAGATCTCGGACCCGAATCATGACTATGACAAAGTTAATCTTGAGTAATTGAGCAATTTGAGGGTCATTGAAGCTTGAAAATAATCAATCATTGAAGCAAATTAATGCTTCCATAACTTATATGTATCTATAAAAAAAACATATATATATATAGGGAAGGGTTCTAATAAGAACTACCTCTAGTGTAAGAACTAGGAACCAATCCTAGCCTTCAAATCTATAATTATTAACGCTTGAGATTATGTTTAGTATATTAAGAATTTAATTACGCTAACTAATAAGTAAAGTAGGGACAAATTAGAAAAGCAGGAAATCTCCTCTTTTATTGCAACCCATATTTTATGGAAATTAAATTGTCATAAAGATGGTAACATTGACCAACAAAATTTTATACCCAACAATGAAAAATTGTTATGCACATTTTATTATATGATGATGCTAATTTCAAATACACAGTGACACTAGCTTTAAAAATATGTACCATGAAGTTGAAAATTAATTTTGCTAGTAGTGGAAGTATAAGCATATAGCATATCAATTGTCCTAGTATATCACTGTAATTGCATGAAGATTGTATCTATGCGAGTTAGTAATTTGATGAATGTCAACGACGTTATAGTCTATCTGGTAAATTGTGAGGGACTCTGTGCTATTATATTAATAATTTAGTGCTATTATTAATAGAGATTATTGCTATAATTAAAAAAAAAGAGTACTATATCTAACAAAAAATACATTGCTATTATTTTTTGTATAAGAATAACAAACAAAAATGTTTTGCTATATAGTTTGTTTTATAAAATATAATTTTAACTTATTTTAACAATGCTATTAAATAAATTTAAACTTGATATGCATGGTAATTCTAATTTTATGAGTTGCAATTGCTATCAATAACATGGATTTGATAATGTAATTCGTCCTAATTGCTAGCAATAACATTGCAATTATTAGTGAACTTAATGCTATCAATTATTCATATATATGCCACTATTCTAATTATTAATGCTAGCTACATCAAAGATTCGTAATGTAGCTAACAACCAATTAGTCTTAATATAAAATTGATGTTGTCAAATGTTCAATCTATTGCTATTATTTAAAACTTTTAGTGCTAGCTATCAAATCTTCAGAGTAACTAACAATCTATTAGACTTAATATGTTTTTGATGCTATCGAATGTTTATATTCTTGCTACTATGATAACATTTAAGTGGTAATATTATGTGATACAATAATATGTATTCAATCTATCCTTCTATTTTCATTAACATAGAATAAAAGTTTAAAGCCAAAAAAGGTGCCGATAAAGAAACCATTAAATGTTTTTTGGTGTAATCCACAGTAAATTATTCTAGAGAAGTTTAAGAAATCATTGGATTTTCATATAGGGTATCTAAATATAATGACCACAGTTAGACAAAAAAATACTAGTATAAAAATTTTATGCATTAAAAAATACAAATATATTTAACAAAATCAATTCTTAAGGACCATAGGAACTTGGTCAATGGCATTCCATGGGTGATGTACATGATTAGCATATAAATAAATTATTTTTCTTTATGAATAACAAATATATTATAAAAAAGTTTTGAATAGGAAAAAGAAAAAAAAAAAAAGAATAACATAGATAGATAACAAAACAACTCCGTAAAAATAAAGAAGAATAAACAAAGTAACAGTCAAAAGAGTTCATATACTTTCAAAGTGCACTACCATATCTAATAAGAATTAACATGACATATATAGCATCCTCTCCATAAATGTGAATTTTTAAATAAATTCCACTATTATATTACTTTCCANGGTTCGGTTCACCGATAACTATTATCCAAACCGAACCGAAAACCGAATCGCATATCGGTTTCGGTCCAAATCTAATTTTCGGTTTCGGTCGGTTCCGCTCGGTTAACCAAAATTTGTGCACCCCTAGTCAGTTGGCACATATGACTATTCAATTCGCAGCTTTTACCTCTTTTTTGTTTGTTTGTTTGCTGGATAGTTATTTTTCATCGTAATATGACTGTTTGGTTGTTCAGGTTGCGGTGGCCCTTTCTCATGCAGCAATTATGGAAGAATCGACTCGGGCCCACGACCAGCTCGTGCAGCACAATACAGCTCTTGATTTAGCTCGACAGGAAGCCGAGACAGCTGTACGTGCTCGGAACGACTTTCTGGCTGTGATGAATCACGAGATGAGGACGCCAATGCACGCAATTATCTCCCTTTGTTCATTGCTTTTAGAGGCTGAACTGAATCCACAACAAAGGATTATGATAGAGACAATATTGAAGTGTAGCAATCTCCTCGCAACACTCATTAACGACGTGCTCGATCTTTCGAGGCTCGAAGATGGAAGCCTTGCCTTGGATTCCAAGATTTTCGATCTCCAAGCAGCTTTTCGAGACGTAAAAAATATTCTTACCATTATAAGATTTACCGCAAAAAATAATAATAATAAAAAAAAATAAAAAAAATAAAAAAAAAAATCCTAAATTTAAAAGCAATAACAACGAACATTACCGTGAAATTGTAACAATTCCTTGATTTGAACCGTAGGTTTTCAACTTGGTAAAGCCTATTGCGGACGTGAAGAAACTATCCCTGACTTTGACGTTGGCTCTGGATGTACCAGCTTATGCTTGTGGAGATGAGAAGCGGCTAATGCAGATCATATTGATTATTTTGGGTAATGCTGTTAAGTTCACAAAGGAAGGTCATGTGGTAATCGAGGCTTGTGTTCTTAAACCTGAATACCTTAGGGGCTGGCTATCTTCCGATTTCTATCCCCCATCAACTGATGCTCACTTCTACTTGCAAGTTCAGGTCTTGTGACTCCATTTCCCTTCAACACTTGTGAAGTGATCTATATTCTATACACACGTCAGAATTTACTCACACGCGCATACATATATTTATATCACGGGTAAAACATTTGCATCCTATACATGCTTTTGGGATTTGTGTTAGCCACCAATTTTGAGTCAAAAATTGGAAGCCATCAAATGTTGAAAGCCACCAAATATTGAAGCCACGTTTTTGTTGAAAAATGTGGTACACAAATGTGGAAAAAATGGTGTACTCTTCAACTATAAATAGAAGGCAAATTTGATGAGCAAAGATACACCACAACGAAAAGAACAACACCAAGAAAGGAAAAAAAAGAGAGAAAAAAAGGGTGTGAGCAAGAAGCAAGAATTTAGCTTCTGTGTGTATTTGAGTTGTGAGTTGTGAGTGAGTTTGAGAGTGTTTGTAAACACGAGTGTATTTTCTTTTTCCCAATAAAATATCTGCAGTAGTCTGGAGACGTAGGCATTATTGGCCGAACTCCGTTATCAATTTGGCATGTCCAATTTTTATTTTTTATTTCACTTTTATAGATCCGACTTCATGGAAATTTCAGCGTATTTTTCCCAACAATTTGCATCCTACAGTATTTTTCGTTGTAAATTACAACCTGAACTTCATGAACATTTATAATTTGAATTAATTAACATTCAAGTTGCACAGGTAAGCTCTTAATTAACATTCAAGTTGCATTTTACTACAAAAAAAATAGTGTAGGTTGCAAAACCCAAAATTACGTGGTTGAAAAAAATTATTAACCCTTATATCATATTAACAAAGTAATTACACGCACAGGTAAGAGATTCTGGATGTGGGATCAGCCCAAGTGATATTCCCCGCCTGTTCACCAAATTTACCGAGACAAGGGATTTGCCTCACTGTAATAAAGCAGGTCTCGGCCTTCCCATTTGCAAAAGGTATGTTTATTTTATAAACTAGAAAAATGTCATCACCATCATTTTTCATTGTCTTAACTTACATTTTGCTTCTAGCACCACTATCAAAATTTGATTTTGAACTAATTTTGCGCTATCATAAACTTATGAAACTACAAAAAATTGTGGAACTTTTATGTGGCATTGAAATGATTGATAAGTAAATGATTGTTCCATACACATGTTGAAGGTTTGTGAATCTCATGGGAGGGAACATATGGATCGAAAGTGAAGGCCTTGGCAAGGGCAGCACATTTACATTTGTCGTTAAGCTCGACACATGCAACAACCCGAATGCACCTGTCAAAAGCGGTAGCTCTTTTACCTCGGTTGCTCGTGAGTCGTGAGGCCAGTCTAATTTAATACCCCGTGAAAAAGAAACAAAAAATACATTAAATGTGAAATAGCCGTTGTGAACAGTAACAATTCCCCTTGAATTTGGATGGAAAAAGGTGATTTTAAGAAGTTGACCATGACTATTTAGTTCTAGTACATATTAAAGGTGAATCTGGATTTGGAGAGTATTTTAGAGGAATAATAGTAATAATAATAATAATAATAATAATAATAATAATAATAATAATAGTATAATTTCTAGCCTCCTTGATTTTGAAAAGAAATTAGTTAAAACCTTTAAGAAGTTAATTTTCATCGGTCTAATTACTAATATTTTTACAAATATTATAAGCTAATCATACAAAAAAGTATATGTAGACAATTAAATTTTGAGCCAATAAAATGGCGACAAGTGTCAAATTTCATGTTAAAATCAATTTAATAATTTTCTATTTTATTTGGGAAATTAATCAAATTTTAATCCTAAAATTAAATAGTTAATTAATTGATTATTTAATATATATTGTTGGCCAATTAAAGAATGCCACATGTATATTTTGAAGGCCAATTAAAGAATGCCACATGTCATTTTCTTGGAGAGTAAAATAAATAATTATTTCTTTAAATGATTATTAAAGAGATAAATAAGTGGAAATTATGGACCAATCAAATTGAAGTCTTCTTTTCCAAGAGTCCATCTTCTAATTATCTCTTTAATAAATAAATATTGGAAATTATGGACCAATCAAAATGAAGTCTTCTTTTCCAAGACTCTCTCTCCTAACACCTATAAATAGGGACCCTCCCTAAGGTGAAAAGAACACAATTCATATTCATATTTCAAGTTCCAAGTTCAAGAGCTCTAGAGAATTCTCTCCACGAGATTCAAGTGTTCTTGAAGATCCAAAGGCGTTCTTGAAGATTCGAAGGAAGATTCAAGCGCGTTCAAGCTCAAAACCGACGTTCAATCCGGAAACAAGCTGCCAAGCCTCCGAATTGCGTTATTAAAGTCAAGACCGGCGTAGAGAAGATCAAAATCAACTTTGCGGCGAAGACCAAGGACTCGTGTTCTTCACGTTCTTGGGAAATCAAGACGTTCGATTCGAGATCAAGCTGTCAAGCCCTCGAAGAAACGTTATTTAAATTCAAATTCAAGACCGGCGGAGATCAAACTGAAGATTCGTCTCCAAAAGTCTCAAATCCACTTGAAGATTGTTCTTGAAGAAATTAATCAGAGGAATAATAGAGATTTAGAATCCACTATATTTCATTTGATCTGTTGAAATCCATTTGTACGAAGTTCTCGTGTTTATTAATTCAATAATACGAATTTTGCGTTACAGTATAATAATAATTTTGAAATGATGTGTGATCAAATTTCTTTATATTCTCTTATACAAAATAATTTTATATTGTTTGACTCCGAATCTTTAATTTATAATTATTAAGTATTGTTTATCTTCTTCTTTAATTTATAATTATTTTTTTTCTTCCTCTTTTAAAATAGGATCAATAGTAGTTTTCACTTCCGCCATTGAGTGACTCTTTTAAAATAGGATCAATAGTAGTTTTCACTTCCGCCATTGAGTGACTCAAACTCGAGGTCTATTTATAATATTGTTAAATTAATATTGTTCCCGTGCATTGCACGGGTACACACTAGTTTTAGATTGAAAGGTGAATTTATACCTTTAACATATTAATTTTATATTTATATTATTTTTTAAAATATCATCACATACAAATGTCTTTATTTAGACAGGTCTATCCGTAATTAATAACGGCATTATTTTATAATTTCTAGTTTAGTTAGGAACCTAATTATTCATTACTAAGGTAATTAGGTAAAGTTTAATTTGTGGCACAATTGATGTAACGAGACCTATTCATTACTAAGGTGTAGATAAATAAAATAAATAAATAATTTTATTTATCTTCTTAATTAAAATTAACTTACCTATTAAAAAAGTAAAATTATTTACACTAACTTAACTACGAAATAGTTATTTGATATAATTCAAAAAAAATATAATATAAAATAATAAATCGTGTAAGTGACATGTCATATTAAATATGAATAATAATATATCCCCATCTTTTGGGCCTCATCTTTGGCAGCTACCTTTGCACGGTTTGCCCATTAAAGACGATTTCACTCGGGCTGCGAGTTTTGGCTTTTCTTTGCTCGATGGACAAGTCTTATTGTGTCTAAAAGACGTGCGTAAATTTATGGCGGGCCCACCAGCGAGCCTGTTGAAGCCCGAGGCTTGGGGGCTCATCTGTTGAGTAAATTGAATTCGAGAGGGAGAGTTATCGACAGTCGTGCTAAATTAAGAATGCTGTGGGAGGAAAACCCGTCCGAGTTGCTTTCGGAAATTCGGGATTGGTTTCAGGAAGGTTTTCATGGACGGTTCGAAGAGCTCTGGGCCGAGATGCATCGTCAAGTTGTTTTGGATTTTGAAGACAGGTCTTTGAGTAAGGTTAGTAGAAAAAAGAGGAGGGTATAAAGCATTTCTTACGCATTTGATGTTTTTTTGGCTGGTTATTTATCTTTATTTATGTTTTTGTTCTCCCTATTTAGAGGTTATACTAGTGCGGATTTTTGCCATTGTTTAATGCTAGTGCAACATCATCTTTATAGAGACTCGTTCTGCTGTAATGGAGTTTTGACTCAGCATTTTTGTATTCTAATTGATTTATTTCTTTTTTTTTTTTTTCAAANAAATTACAAAAAATTATATTGGGTATTGATCAGAAAAAATGTGATCTTTTCAATGTATATATAAAACTAGAAACTAGATAGAGACCTAGGTATTTGATCTGCAAACTTTACAAATGTATAATTTTCATCTTTCTGTATAAAAATCGGGTTCATAGCGTCTAGATCCTGACTCATGAAAGACACACTACTATTTCTGTACAGAAAAAAAAATCTTTTTCTGCTTGCAATATAAAATTGTAAGATAACGTCTGCAATGTTTTTGAAAATTCCCCTTCTTTAATATAGACGTTTCTTTTTAGTTTAGAACTGTTCTCTTTATGTAACCGGTGTGCCTTTGTTTAAGTTTGCTTAATTGTTAGTCACACATTCTACAGTCTCGTTATAGAACCATTCTGTCGAGATTTGTAACTGTTAAGATCAAATATCTCCGACGGTTACATGATGATCTAACGGTTATAAATCCGACGAAATGATTTCGTAACGAGACTGTAGCATTTCTCACTATCATATTCAAATGTTATATCTTAAATAAACATATAACATTTCGATAATATATTATTAAATAACAAAAAAAAATGCTTTCTAACATTAACTTTCAAATTTTATCATTTTCAAACCTTCAAGACGGTTGACTTGTTTATTTATTCATGTAATTGGACTTCCTTAATTTTACACAATTGACTAACAATTCATTTGTCTTTTGTGATAGCAACTAATTTATTCATTTATTAGGTCCAAAACGTGACTTTTCCCCAACCTACAAATCAGCTTGAGCCGTAACTTTACCTAGATTCTAATAATAATCATTAATTAATTAATAATAGTAATGGACGCAGAGACTACCTCAACTCTACTCGTCAATATATAAAAGAAAAATAAAAAACAGTATAATAAAAGAAAAATAACTAATTTATAATAAAATAATTCGCGCCAGCGCACGGCCCGGCCAATGAAATGCCAGATACGCACGTGCCATCGCATAGGGATCCCAATTCAAAGCGCCCTTCACACGTGCGTCGGCGTCCATTGAACCCGACCTCCGCCCGTCGCTTTCTCAGCCCGTGTCAGATCAGAGCTACTAAAAAAACCTCTTTCCCGTGTCAGATTAGACTTTATTTGTGCCGCCTCTCACTAAAATGCTGAAAAATCAGCTTTCGGCTTTCCTTTTTTGCTTTCTTTTTACGAGGAAGCAAAAGAAGATGAAAGCATAGCTAGCTGAAACTTGAAGTGCTGCGTAATTTGCTGGCCCGGTAACAGTNGCGTTAACGATTAACGATTGTAGTTTGTGCTATTGTTTATGGTTTTATATTCACCAGATCTCGTTGGGATTTACGTTCAATTTATTTTTTTTGGTGGTTATTTTAGAGACGCTCTGAGGAATTAATGCTGTTCTAATTTTGTCTGCTCTCTCCTGAGATTTAGAACATCTCCAATACTCTAATATTGTTGTAGAATAAATTTTGACAAATGTCAATAAATTAAATGGATTGTGAACTACGTAGGAAAAATATTAAGTTTACAATTATGAAATTAAAAAATTATCTCCAATGCAAAATGTAGTGTAACTACAATATTATTCACTTACTAAATATTAAAATTTTATAAAACGTAGTACGAAAATTAATTAAATAATTTAGAATTGGTAAGAATAATTCTCTATCTTCTCTTTATTGGTATTTATTGGCTAGCTAGAGTGTGGAGGAGAATGTTGATGAACCACATTCTTCTTTACATTGTAGACATTAATTATGTCCACATCACCACAACATTTGTGATCACATAGTGCATTGCAGGATAAAAAATTGTGAAATTGCTAAATATGCAGAATGTAATTTACCACAACAATATTTGAGCATTGGAGATGCTCTTACAGTTTGTTCCACATTAATTGTTCAGGAATGCGTTTGGTTAGATCGAGTGATATCGATGCATTTAGGGGAGAGAAAATCATGATATGCTCTTACAGTTTGTTCCACATTAATTGTTCAGGAATGCGTTTGGTTAGATCGAGTGATATCGATGCATTTAGGGGAGAGAAAATCATGATATCGTAGTTGTGTATTCTTGTTTTTGCTATAATATTTTCGTGCCATCTGTTTTATTCGATAACAATTATGATACTAGATCAAAATTTAACTTAATTTTTTGTTTTGTGCTTTTCGTGTCGTATGTCGTTCATATCATATCATTTGTCTCTATAATCACGTTTGTGTTTCTTGTCGTGTGAGCCATTGTCTTCCATAGATGAATTGAGGAAACTACGTGTTTCTCTTCCATGATAATTCCATGGGAATACTGTGCAGCTGAAAGAGGATGAAAGTCAATTTATGCCAAGTAGCATATGTATATATAATGGCCATATGTACTTGCTTATGTTGTACATGAAATCATCGCAAATTTAGATTCAGTTTTACATCATTAGTCGTTCATAAATGAAAGCACTTTATGATCACACCGGCCTTTGAAATATCGAGTCGAACAGGAGCAACTTAATCTCGGATGATAATTAAACTTATCATAAAGGGTTTAAAAATGGCGATAGAAATTTAATTTCCTTTTCTTTTTCTTTTTCCAGGTTCCTCTAAATGGAATCCTGTGACTGTGTCGAGTCTGACTGGCCGGGCGATGAACTCCTCGTCAAATACCAATACATATCCGATTTCCTCATAGCAGTTGCGTATTTCTCCATTCCTCTGGAGCTCATCTACTTCGTCCACCGATCCTCCTTCTTCCTTTACTGATGGGTGCTGATTCAGTTCGGCGCGTTCATAATCCTCTGTGGCGCGACCCACCTTATCAACCTGTGGACCTTCTCCCTCCACTCCAAGACCGTGGCCAAAATATCCACGGCCTTAGTCTCGTGCGTAACAGCTCTAATGCTTGTCCACATCATCCCCGACCTGCTCAGCGTTTTTGAGAAACAAAGCCGAGGAGCTTGATCGAGAAATGGGGCTCATTATGAAGCAAGAAGAGACGAGCAGGCATGTCCGCATGCTGACCCACGAGATCTGGAGTACCCTCGACCGGCACACGATTCTGTCGAGCTCGACCTGGAAGAGTGTGCCCTGTGGATGCCCTCTCGTGGAGGCGCCAGCCTCCAGCTGTCACACACACTGAGCAGCTTGATGCCTGTGGGGTCCACTGTGCCGGTCAACCTTCCTCTGGTTAATAAGATATTTAGCAGCGATGAGGCTGTTTGGATTCCTCACGCTTGCCCTCTCGAACTTCCGTGTGGAAGGGTGAGCCGAGCTTTCCGGGAGCATGAGCTCGAATTTGGATGGAAAAAGGTGGATTTAAGAAGATTGACCATGACTATTTAATTCTAATACTGTACATATTAAGTCGTTAATTAGTTTTTATTTCTAGCAAATAGAAGCTTAAATATGGAAATAGAAAACAGATGCTACATGTATATATTATCTTTAGGTAAATTCCACAGACAAATCTCACAAACACAGACAGGAATATTTAGCATATAGAATTAATCATGCTGCCGACTTACACATGCTTGATATAGTAATCATGAAGAGAGTTTGATTTTCCCTTGCCCGCTGTAAAATCCTTTCTCTTGGGATTTACCGTCAGAGTTACCCCTTTTGGATTGATCCTATGAACGTGATATCACGGTTCATCTCATCAAATGTCTGTGAATCAATAGAGATGGAGGATGACATTGTTGGCTTGTGTGTGGTGTGGTCATGATGACGGATAGGATCATACATGAAAATCTGATAACAAATACAAGAATTATTAACTTTTAAAATACATTTATAATCATTTTAGAAATTGAGATCCACTTCTTCTACTCAAAATCAAACTCAAATAAAGACCGCGATTTAGAAAAATCTTAAAATTGTTGTGGCCTACAGTTATGACTTATGACATTATCTAACCGCAGAAGCTATTGGAGAATAACTATTATAAAGACGTATCTATTTATATTAAATTTTAGAACAATGCTATTGAATACTATTAATGAAAAATAAATGTGTAAATGTAACTATGTACTATAAAAATTATAAAAAATGAGAAGCATGCATACTCCCACATGCATATATACAAGAATCAAAGAAACGAACATCAAGCATGAGAGAGGAGGTTAATACTTAATAGATAGTGACTGAAAATATTGAATTTATGTGTTGACTAAATATTACCTAAAAATGTGTAATGAACTCCATCAACCTGAAAACAAAAGGAAATATTAAAAAATCACATCAAAATGAAGTAAAATACGTAAGTTATCGAAAGTCATCTGTGTCTAAAGCAAATTCAAAGAAGCCACCTTTGACGTAAAGATTCATTGCGTATATACCCTAACCCGACCGAGTCTGTATTTTTTTATTCATAAACTAAATAATATGGTTTATTAGGATAAATTATACTTATTTGTCAAAACAACCTGCCGATGAAATTCCACTTGTATAAACATAAAAAGAAAAAAAATGCTTCTGATAAACCCCGCTTTAGAATCAACTAAAAAAAACAATCTTTGAAAAATGAACACTTGACTCAGTGAGCCGCCTTAACATAGCTGATGAATAAGCTTGTGTTTGACACTCACAATCTTCGGCGCTTTCTCGTGGTATCTCGGTGCCTCTGCCCCTACACAGCCACCACTTCAATAGATATACTGCAACACCCTTCTGTGTGCAAAACAAAAGAAGAATAGAGAAATAAAAGAAAAATAAGTTTGAGAATTGAGAACCAAGCCGGTTCATGAGTTGAATAGCCAATCCAAGTAAATAACTATATACTGACTTGAATTTATAAGAAGAATATTTTCATGCTTGTTTACAAATTATTTCACTCACATTTAGTTCATACTCAAAATTTAACTCAACTTTAACTCAACCCCACTATCTTTAATATTATTCATATAATTAAATAATACTTTAATTCACTATTCATCCACTCACATAATTTTAACTACCTATCATTTCCAATCATTTATCTCATACTTTTACATCAAATCAATTTTATTCAGCTTATTTTAAATATTATTTTAATATATTCTTAAAATCCCACTAACAACTAATCATACCAGCTTTTTTAAAATTAACCCTGGTTAACCAAAATAACTCATTTTGGACGAATTATTTTGTAAACAAGCGAGCCCTTCTTTTTACCACTTCGTTGGCTGATCTATTGTTGTTCTGCGCTAAGGCGATCTAGTGTGTTCGAGAATGGCAAGACGATTTAGGGCCCTCACTTTCACACAAGCCGATAATTAAGCCCGAACATGTCACCTGTAACATGTATATCTCCATTTAATAAAAGTTCTCTTTAAAAAAAAAAATAAAGCATGGAAAAATATGAACCCAAAATAAATTCAATCCACTTTTGTATAGCTAAATGTGCATGCAATAAAACAACAAATCATTGGCCATGTAAACATACAAGCTCCTTAAGGTGTAGTACAATAGAATACTTTTTATAAGTATCATGGAATAATCCCAAAATTATGGAATAGTAATTCAAATTGCCCATGTCATACAATTATAAGAAAGTGCGAACATTGGTTTGAATCAAGCAATGTCGCAACTTTTTAGTTAATTAAAAGTTTCGTTATTCCTTCATGAATTGAATAACTATTTATTTCTTTAGTATACATACTGGCTTAGGTTTTTCCATTTTCATGCCCTTCAATTTGATATTAATCATTTTCAATACACTGATACTCAAGACGCATATGATATATTGGGTAGTTTTAGCATTGCAAAAGGATATATGAGAGCAGCCAAAACATAAGGCTCATTTATCATACCAACTGATAGTTCTCTCAAATCAAAACACTGAGAACTTATGAGTTATGACTAATGGATTGTTCAAAAGATGCAGTATAAACAAAAGCATGGGCTATTGCCATTTCTGAGTAAAATTTTCACCGAAAAAAAGACGTCACAATATAATTCATCTACGTAAAATTTGCACCCAAATGAAGACTACACAATATAATTCTTATTCAATATTTTACTGACATGACCTATCATCATTTTCTACCATTTAGGCTTGTATTTTTCATAACCATTAATTAGCCAATAATTGTCACTTTGTAGTAGCATTCATGTTATTTATGCCTCAAAATATTTGATCATGTTATTTGGTCTCACCATAAAAACAACAAAATATGAAGACCAAAATATGAAGACGAGTAAAGATAACCCCACAAACAATAGATTAGGCTCAACAAAATAAATTATTTAATCTATAATCTAATATAAATCAATTTCATTAACAAAAATAGTATATAAAATACCCGACATTTCAACTGATATAAGCACAGTCGAAAAGAAATAACGACATGCCTCTTTCAGAGGTCATGCAATGACCCACAAACAACCTAATCACACAATTCATTAAGAGCTTCTTTCTCCGTATACGTTTGACAACTAAGAAGTTTCTAGCGCACAAATAGCATGTTTCTGTCTTAACAATGCTTTTATTTCTCTCAAAAATGTACACTGAGCGAACAAGTTAACAATATACCTGATTTAGACAGGTGTCTTTCAGATCAATGGATGAGATCTCCAGTGTTTGCTGCTCGAGAACATCACTCGACTAGTAAGAAACCGTACCAAGGTGGTCAATTGCATTGACCATAATCCTTCAAATTGTCCAGAAACCTGGTGTAGAAATCAGACAATGTGCAAGTTAAATTTACAATTCGAGTCACCGAATACACTTCAATTTTTTTCCCTAATTAGCACGAAGGACAAGCAAGAGAGATATTGTCATTCGTAAAGTTTTCATTCTAGTCGGATGAACAAACATTCTCAAATACTAAAGTTCAAAGAATGAATTGTAGATCAAATGATTCCTTTAAAAACATGCTAAAGCCAAATTAATCAGACAAGTCGTACCAAAATCTCGCATTTGCTTCTGCTCACTGTTCAGATATGATTTCTCAGTCCTCTGCAGCTGAATACAGTTGAGATCTGAGGTTCTTCAATTCCTGTAAAAACATAAGACCAACTAACAAAGACACTGCCAAATGAAATCCCATAAATTTTAAAGCAGTAAAATGGTTAGGTGATATATAATCTTTGAACGCATACTTTCAAATTCAGGTGTCATACTTTAAACAACATCATACACAAAAGTGTATCATTTCATAACATAAGTACGCATTTATGTTAGGAAAAAAGTCAACTGATCGACACCCTAATGATCAAGCCGTCTCACAAAATGGGGATATGTCGAATCATTACTATATACCGTACCGTGGCGAAAGAACAACAACCTGAAAGGGCTCTCAATAGCGGGGGGGCTGTTGTTCATGCCGATTCAGAATGCTTTCTCATGAGAATATTCAATCATTTTTGTGTCCATTCAACGAGACGAGCACGAGGATCCATGTAATTGAGTTGACCACGGAGCGTGCAATTGACGCTGCTTTAGGATCTAGTGGGTCTTCCACTTCCGTAGTCGCTAATGGCATAAGTGCTGTCCGATACTACAACTAGTTGATTCATGCGTACAAGAGCTAAAGCTAAGCCCTACGGTTCAAGAAGCTAGTTGGTGAGGCAATAGCTAACCAAGGCGATGATCAAAGAATTCGTAAATTTAATGGAAGTACAAACACACAGAGCAAATGTGAATTCAGCAAACTCAAGCGATCCATGAAACTTTATGCAATCAAACACAACTTTCAGTCGTTCTATGATGAATTATCCATTACCGATCAAAAAAAAAAAAAAAAGATGAATTATCCATGACTTCTGGACAATCAAAACACACTCAACCAACAAGAATTGTCACCAAGATGAGTGCATTTGCTTTCAGAATATAGTGTGCTGCACAGCCAGTCTGCAAAGTGATCACCTTTTCCACATCCTTTGCAGCAAGCTAAACCAAGAATCAAGTATTAGATTTCCATAGCATATATGGAAGCAAGAAACACACCCATGGAAAGCGAGTACGTGGCGAAGGTCAAGGTATGTGTAATATACCGTGGCATGAGTTGTTGGATCAGACCCAGTCAACGGCCTGTATTCTGAATAACACAAACACAAAGACAACAAATAGGAAAAATGAAAAAAAAAAGGACAACTTGTGAAGTAATCAAAGATCCAATNCATAAGTAATTTATCCTTTTCGATTATTTTCTCTCAAAAATGTATTAGCTCTCAGAAATGTATTAGCTATCGAGCAGAGAATGAGTCTCCAGTTTTCTTATATAATAAGAAGGTAGATAAAAGACATAAGTAAAAAAAATATTAATTTGAAATAACAAAAAGATATAAATCATGCGCACTTTACTAGTGTATATAAACATCAAAACAAGGACTACACCTTCTCCATCAACATATTTTGCTAAATCACGATTCATTTTTGTGTAACTTTTAGTTGATGCGAGGTGATCAGAAAATAAAATATTCATAATTAGTGTTCTTAAATAAGGTTAATACATAACATAAGAATGATAATGATGGTCTCCCTATAGCTATAGCTTTGGTATTAGAGAGGTAGGAATAGAAATAGGCCATGGCGGGAGCACAAGTGGGAAGCATAGACAGAGCCTGTCACATGTGAACCTCAAATTCTTCTCCGGCTCATGAGGAACGCCCAGCGGTCTAATCTCCCCCGTCCGCATGTCGTACAACACCAAGTCGCTGCACCACCTCAAATACACTATCTCCGCATCATATGGATCGAAACAAACGAGGTCGACAACTACTGATCTGCGATACAAACGGCCGCCAATCCTAATATCTTCATACGCAACCGTATTCTGCAAACACCATCCACCCATATCATAGTCCTCCAGCACCCATATCTTGAGATGCGAGAAGCCACGCGTACTGAATGGATCAGTAACTTCAAAATACTTGAGAAGCCCTTGGTGGACGCCACACGAGCTGAAGTTCGTGGTGTATGTGCCTGGTCTATAACCTCTGTATCTATCCTCCGGAAAATCTATCAACCGCATCTCATCAGGGCTCGTATAAGGATCGTATGCTATAAGCCCAAGCTCACAATCGTTCCAGTGCAGTTTCCCGTTGAGGAACACGGTCTTCTTGATATAAGAAACCCGAACTGCACGCGTGGAGTGAACGGTGTATTCTACCCACTTTCCCGATTCGGAACAGAACACCATGAACTCGATGAAAAATTGTTTCTGGCGATGACAACGGACAAGCACGACTCTGTAGCTGGTTAAGATTCCGGCTTCAACCCGCGTGATGAAACCATAGCTGACATTTTCCATTGGGATATATTTGGGTGGTCGAGGAAGTGGAAACCACTGGTTGGTCATGGGATTGCAGATGTACAGCTCATCTACGCCCTTACGAACATCCCTCCACTTGTACAGCACAAGCCCGTCGTGAATGGCATGGATGGCATACATTCCCCCCTTCTTACCTTGCTGCTGAGATTTCGGAATGGGAAGTACACAATAATTAGGGGAAGGGGAGTTTGGAAAAGGATACATAATATGCATTAGTTTTTCCTCTGAAAAAAGGGTCATCTCACAACCTTCAGCACTCATTTTGTTGTAAATAAAGACCCACGGAGGGCGGCGCCAATCCGATCCAGAGAAAGCAGAGGGTTGCCAGCCTCGAGAGGTGATGTTATGGAAGCGGACAAAATAAGGATCTAAGATTAGAGAAAGCCACTGTTTTGAGACACTTTTGCACCGGAAAACCATCTTAATTGGGAGCCTGCACAGAACTTCCATCAACACCCACTCAGGCCATAGCCCATCTTGAAAACTAATAGTGACATCAGTACTATTTATGGCTCCATGTTGTGGACTATCAGCAGCAGATTCCAAAAGTCTCCTCCTTTTCGAGACACCTGAAATGGTACAACATCTGAGGTTTCCATTGATTTCCATCTCCATCATCTCAGACATTCTCGATTACCTACCTACCCACCCTACAGAGAAAGAGAGATGTAAATATCAAAATCATGATCAAAAGGTGTACAAAGTGTTATGCATGTAACCAAGTCTTAGTAATTACAACTTATAACATATAAATTCAAGTTCACATAGCACAATAACACAATTTCAAGTGACTGATCAAGGTCTCGAATTGAGGTTACAAAATTGTCGACTCTTGATTAAGGTTTCTATCTAAAGTGAGGTATGAAACAATCACATCAATATGATACTTGGTAGGATTCATATACAGCCAATCACGCCTGATTGGAGGATAACTAGCTCATGGTTAGACTGCAATTCAAATCTTTGTTACAAATTTGTAAAACTTCTGCTTCTCATAAATATAATTTATTAATAAACAACCACCACATATTACTTCCTTGCTTGTTTGACTTGGACTACGGATTCCTAGGCTTGAAAAGTCGGCTAATCACTGACCTCTTACAACAAACAAATTCACAATCCTCAAATGATGTCACCAAACACCTGATACAAGGGCATTCATAACTTATCAGCAAAATGGTTCTACACTCTCTTCAATTCGTGTTTCAAAAGCAAAATTTTTATTCTTTTATACATCACAATAATTAAGCAGGCATCGTCATATATCCTATGAACAAAAGCATGAACTAGGGGAAATAAGGAGGGAAAAAAAACAAAGATATAGAAAATATAGATTAAATTAATATCGCACAAAAAGGAAAATGAAAAACAAAAAAGAGGGACTTTGTTGTCTCAGCGTTTAACCGGCGATAGAGATGAAGAGTTGAAAAGGAGCGGACAAGCTCGGTACTCAGGAGAATAGATTCGAGAAAAACAATGTGGGATTAATCGAAATTATAAAGAAATGGGTATACTTTGATAACTATAGGAAATTAGGAATAGCTGAATAGGAATAGAAGTAAATCCGATAAGGGCGCGTTTGGATAGGTTTGCAGAGTTCGAAAAGCTGGGTAGTTTATATATATAAAAAACAAAAAAAATTAAAAATTTAACTGGACAAAAATAAAAAGAAAAAACAATATTTGTGGACAAATATAAAAAACACGTATTCTTGTAATATATCTTTTTAATTAATTTTTTTTAAATAAACGTAGTTTGATAATACGTTTTAAAATTATATTTGTAAAATGTTATTTTTTAAAACAATTGAAAAAACAGTATAAAATGTATTCTCATAAAAAATAATAAATAAAACGTATTTTGATAATACATCTTATATTTTAAAATTAATGAAAAAAAATAATATGTAGTATATATTTTGTGTTTCGGGCTCGTTTGGATCGTCTGAACTCGAAATTGAGTTCCGTTTTTTCCTATACGTAGCTAACGAACCCCTCTATTCAATGATGCTTGCATGACCAAATTATTCTTGAAGGCATATTCTCCCAAAACTCTTGACCTATACATTAAACGTGTTTCGCGCGACTTTTCTTTTTTTGCCCGTTCAGACTCGTCCAAGTTCGAAATTGATTTCTGCTTCTTCTTATATGTTGCCAATGAACCCTTCTACACAACCATGATTTTTCGGTCAATTTTCGGGCTACTTCTATTCCTCACGGGTTAAATGATTAACAAATCACCCATTATATAAATAGATAATTTGTTGATAGGTGATTTGTTGATTGTTTTGCTCCGTTAGGAATAGAATTAACCCGACTATTGACCGGGCAATCATTGTTGTGTAGACGGGTTCGTTGGTGACATATAGGAAGAAACAAAACTCAATTACGAGTTTGGACGAGTCCGAATGGGCCAAAAAAGCAAAGTCCCGCGAAGCACATTTAATGTGTAGGTCAAGAGATTTGGGAGAATATGATTTCAAGAGTAATTTGGCCATGCAAGCATCATTTTTAATCTTTTTATAACTTAATTCCTAATTCATTTTTTTTTTACAGTTCGATTGGGTTCCCTATAAACAGTACTTGGAGGATGGTACTATCTAGGATGAGTGCACAGAAGATCAACATATTTGGATGTATAGGGGGTGGATCTTCTGTTGAAACATACGTGAAGTCCACTTGTCTGATAAGGTTCTTCGTCAGTTTGAGTGTCAGCAGTCCATCCCCCAAAATTCGATGATTAGTGATAAGCAAGAATGTGAGACACACCACAGAGACCAGAGAATGACTGGGAGCACATTTGGTGATTTGGTCACCTTTCATTCACAGTTTACCAGTCGATGAAAGAGAACAAAATGTCCTCCAAGATGCCCCTGTGGATCACTTCCTACAAGTTGAGTTGAGGAGGGTTCATTGATTGGTTTTACACTAAGACTGTGAGACTCATCAGTGACCCTACCAAGTACACGATGGTCCAATAGGACGACAGCTATCAGGCAGTTACCGAGCGGGAGAAGTGCGATGCAAATGTTCATAATTCGTGATTTTTTTTTATTTTTTTTATTTTTGTGTTTCATATTAATTACTTTGAATTTTATTTTCGACTCAAAGCCCTGGAAGGGGTTTATAACTCGAATATTCAAGACATATTTCTAGAGATGGCAATGGGCCAAGTTGGGCCGGGTAGTTACTGACCCAGACTTGGCCCGCACCCATGCCCCATGTCTGATAAGGTTCTTCGTCAGCAGACTTGGCCTGCTATGGGGCGAGTCGCCCCGCCCCGCCCCGCCTCATCAAAATCTATCTCGAAACGAACACCCAAATCCATCCCAAAAAAATGAACCAGACAAAATATAACACCAAAAAAAAAGAGAGAACACCAAAAATCTTCATACATATCTCAATGTTTCCAATTTCTAAAGAAGAAGGATGGATAAACCGATGCCCGAGGTACGAGGCCTCAACTTCCGATCTTTGCGCAACGAAGACAACCACGAGAACTTCGGTCATTTCCGAGGAATCCAAATAACTTCTGGTTTTTTTCAGATAAAGAATTCTTGAATCAGGACATGGATGAATCGAAAAAGAAAATTTTGAGACCATATATGTCCTCGCTCTCTGCAAGACTCTCTTTATCCCATTCGTTGGCCTTTTGATTAACCCTCAATTTTTCGCCATCAATGAACAACAACAATTGAGAAAGTAGAAAAAAGATTCTTTTACGGGAAAAAAAAAAGAAGACAAGTGGTGGACAAAAAAAGAAAAAGAAAAAAGGGGGTGGACAAGAATCAAAAGCCCGTATTTGCTGAATACGGCTTTTGATTTTTTTATTTGTAAAACGTATTCCGTGAATACGGTTTCCTTTGTAAAAAAAATGTAAAAAACGTATTCCTTAAATACGTTTTTTAATTAAATTACAAAGAAAACGTATTTACAAAATACGTGCTTTCTATGTTGGTCCACTCCCCCCTTTTTTTTTGTTTTTTGTCCACTTATTATTTTTTTATTTTTAAATATATAAACTGCCCAAAAAGGGACGGGTTGCAGGGAATAGGGATAGAGATGAAGAAATAAACCCCAATTAATTAATGTTGGCAATTTTTAAAAAATTTAGGGCATGTACCTAATATATTTAGGAATTTGGGCTTCAAAAACATTTATGCTAATGGGCTTTAAATTTTAAGACCAGGCCACACCATACATATACCTAATATATGTTTAACATTATAAATTACTTACAGGTCGGGTCGGGCCAGGTCGGATTCCAGTACCCGGACTTGCCCCGTTTATAAAATGGGTCGGCCCGACATGGCCTGTTTTTTCAAACGCGGTGGGTTGGGTCCGCCCCAAAGGCCTCGGGGCGGGGCGGGCCAGTACGGGTTCGGGCCAAATTGTCATCCCTACATATTTCCTACACTCCCTCCACGGGCGCAGATCGCATTCCAACAGTCTTACAACATTGTTTATAGTTATCTGACCAACAGTCCTACAACATTGCCTATAGTTCTCTGACTGTTGGAGGCCAAGAGGTCACACAAGGGGCGTCGTTCAGTCAAGTTCTATCTGAGGAGGACTACGTCCCATACCAGAGTACACAATCACACAGGGCGAGACATCAACCTGCTGCCAACATTGGTGGAGGTAGAAGACGCCGTGACCGCGAACGACAACAACGCCCGTTAGGACTCGTCTAAGCTCGAAATGAGTTCCGTTTCTTCCTATATGTCGCCAACGAACCCGTCTACACAACCATGATTGCCCGGTCAATTTTCGAGTTAAAACTATTCTTCACGGGGCTAAATAATTAACAAATCACCTATTAACAAATCATCTGTGGACTATCTATTTATATAATAGGTGATTTGTTAATTATTTAGCCCAAAAATTGATCGGGCAATCATGGTTGTGTATATGGGTTCGTTGGCGACATATAGGAAGAAACGGAAATCAATTTCGAGCTTGGACGAGTCCGAACGGACCCAAAAAGCAAAGTCGCGCAAAACACGTTTAATGTATAGGTCAAGAGCTTTGGGAGAATATAATTTCAAGAATAATTTGGTAATGCATGCATCATTGAATAGAGGAGTTCGTTAGCTACGTATAGGAAAAACGGAACTCAATTCCGAGTTCAGACGAGCCCAAACAAGTCCAAAACACAAAACACATATTATATATTAATTTATTTATTCATTAATTTTAAAATTTAAAACATATTATCGAAATACGTTTTAGATCTTAATTATTTATAAAACGTATAACTAAAATACGTTTTATTTATTAATTTTTTTTAAAACGTATTATGTGAATACGTTTTATTCTGTAATATGAGATTTTACAGTAAAACGTATTCCGAGAATACATTTTACACTTTAAAACGTACTAGTATGAGTCCCGTGCACTGCACGGGTAAGAGATATTCATTAATATTTATAAATTAAATTTTTTTTATTAAATAATATTTGTAAATTAAAAATATAGAATCAAATACCTATATTAATTTGTTGAAAATATTATATAAAGTTTAAATTGTGAAACATTACATAAAAATGTCTATTTAAAATTAGTACACAACCCATGGATACATATAACTGATAATAAATTACATTATATTCGTTTCAAAATAAGTGTCATTTCAAATT